TCAGGGACCAGGGAGATGGTTCGGGACAGCCAGGCGAGCAGAGCAGAGCAGAGCAGGGGGAGAGTCGACATGGATAACGCTAGTTAATCATGGACAACGTGGTGCATTTCTGCACCCAATCGTCTGATGTTCTCTTTGTGACTGTGCCTCTCGGAGCCTGCTGGAGTCAATAAAACTAAGCTGACGAGTTCTCCTGTGTCCCCAAGACCCCACACTGCTCTAGAAAGGCCTGGCTTTGAAGGTAGCGGGGGAAAAGAGTTACACTGATGATCTCAGCCTGCCTCAAAGACCTGAAGGATATTCCTCTCCCCTGGGCTACCTACTTACAGAAAACATCACATTTGAAGGACAAATGTGTGAGCCAGCTCACTTGAACACTACTCCCAACACAGCCCTGCCATGCTTTCTGGCTTGCGTTGTGTTTCAGAAACAAGTAAATAAACAAACCACTTCAGAAACCTTTGCTGAGCAACAGTGAACCAGGGTAAGTGATCCAGTATCTTCTATTTCCCCAACCTGCAAAGAGCCCAGCTAGAGGGATAAACCCAGTGCTGTTCTCTTGAGCCACTGGTGTTGCACCAGTTTACCTTTGCAGGGACCTGAGCCTTCCACACTCAGCAGAGATATTTCCTCTGCAAACGCTTGTTTTACAAGTTCATGCTTCTGCTGCCAGACATTATTTTTTACCCTCAGAATTAATGATGAACAATTAAATTATTTGACTGGGGAATAGAGGCCCACTGCTAATTAAATTCCTTCGTCTCTCCTCTTTGCAAAGAAAAAACTGATTTTTCTCAGTATCAGCATTCAACCAGAACAGGGCAGTTTGTGATGTTGGACTTAACTAGATGGACAACCACAGGCACAGCCAAAAAAAAAAAGCATGAAAATATTGCACACGGGCCATACAAATAGAGGTGGGGAGAGAAGGTGGAAGGAGAAGGATGAAACAACCAGCTGGGGAGCTGGGAACTGAGCAAACTAACATGTCCATATCACAGAAAAGCCACTTTCTAAACCAAATAGCTTTTTATAAGAATATATCCTCTGTTTAGCTGAAACAAAATAATGCAGACAGAGCAAACAGTGCTTATATAGGCTGGGAGAAACCAGTAACAGGTGTCCTGCGAAGCTTGACCGCTCCATTTTAAGGAACGGATTTCTTGAGCATCCTGAGCAACTGGGCTGTTCATCTCCACCAGCTTTCACCTTCACGTGCTTGCTGGTGGGCTGGGCCTCCTAGGGGTTTGGTGGTGCCTGCTTACGTGCCAGTGTTAATATCACAAAAGATTACGCTAGTTCACCAACCCTTTGAAGAGATCCTTTCCATTGTTGTTGCTGCGATGATTGCCTGATGGCACTTTCTCAGCCAGCTCCACTAGGGATTACACCGGCATAAATAAGATAAGCTGCTGTCTGGCTGCTATTAAAATGCACCAAGACTCTCTCGGCTCAGGCAACACTCTTGCACCAATGCAAACTACATGCTCGGTGGTTTTGTTACATGTTTTGCCTCTTTTTGTTTATTTGGAGAATAAATTTTCTTTCTGAGCAATACAACAGCCCACACTAAATTTCCAATTCTCTATCATCAATAATTTTCAAATCACCTGGCAATTTCCCTCTCCTTGTCTCTGCTGGACCAGGAGATGAACAGTCCTATGGGACTTTCTCTAAGAACTAAGGAATGGAAAAAATCCCAGAAAACTCCCAAGACAGCATACAGCACTGGCCAAGACAGACCTGGAAGACAACAGAAGCTGATAGCTTTTTTGGGTGCTGAGCTAAACTGCCATAGCAGAGCCCAATTGTCACAACCACAGTGAACACTTCAGGGTTGGGTTAGATGCACTCCATCCTTCCAAACCGTGGTGGGGTGGGCCAGCCTCTCTGTAGCTCCCAGTGCTGTTTTCTACTATTATTTCTGAGCTAGAGAGTAGACACATCTGCCTGCTGCTGGAAAGGCTTTGCTATTGCCTCATCCCCTGCTTTCTTGCCTTTTCTTGTTAAATCTAGGGGGGCAGTTGTTACCAGCTAGTTTTAGGAAAACATTTAGTAACCAAATAGAAACTGGAAGAAACTCAGAACTCATCATTCATAGGTCAACTGGGTGACAACACACAGCAGCCAAACAGAGCTTCTAAAACACACGCCAGGAGGCACAAAAATCACGTTTGACAGTTTCAGCACATCCCCAAAGTTCACAGAAACTGCTCATAGGGATGGGCATGAAGCTGCAAAAAGCAGTGGGGCTGTGAGAGGGTGGTCCTCTCCCAGATGCTTGTGGGAATCATTTGTCTTGGAAGGATATATCTATGTAGGAACTGCGCCCATGAAAATCATTTACTTGCAACTTTGAAGCAGAAAGAATCACAAAATGGCACCCAAGAAATACCAGCAGACTGACTCATTGGAAGTGAAGTGAACATGTTTAACATGGGCTTTCACACTGAATTTACAGGAAAGCTGAACACTGATTCATGTGCTTTTTCACCTCATTTTTTAAAATGAATGCCAGGGGAATTGCAGTTTTTAATTATCTTTTTACACTTAAAGCTTATTAGATTTGTATTGCCTCTTCCCCACCCCACCTTTCCACTTCCATATACTTCCTCCAGTCTACAGTTAATGAGAAGAAATCAGTGTATTGCACTATCTGGCATCTTACTGCTGAAGTGGCAGGAGACTTTGGTTACCAAGTCATTTGCTGCTTAATTGAAATCTTTTCTCTAGACTCATTGCCATGCAGACACTCTATTGGAATGCAGTAGTCAAGCCCAGTATTGATTGTCCTCTCACTCCCAGCTTTCTTCCTCTGAGTTTGCAAATCAATTGCACCCTGTTGTTTTCCTTCTAAAAAAAAAATAAATACATTAAAAAACATCACCCATTCCACAACCCTGTTTACCCCTGAAACACACTGGTTTGGCTTTGCATACTTTCTTAGAGCAGAGATGGGGACAAGACAAGAAACGGCAGGTGGCTATAGTAAAAGCCTGATCCACACCTTGTCAGATCACCTCCAAGCATGGGTGTGCATCAGCCAGTTCAGATAAGGTCCTGGGAGTAGATTGTGAACATATAAAGGGTAAATTAAATCTTAGTTTTAAACCGTCACTGGAAATTATCTGGAATTTATCTCCCCTCTTTATTGCAGAAATTAAAGAATTTTTAACAGTTAAAAATCTAGCAACCAGAGAACCCTAATACAGTTGCAGTTTGCAGAAGCCAGACTGTAGTTGTGAGTTTGCAGGATTGAAAACCAAGGCTTGGCAAGCCACCACCTGCTAACACTAGGAGAGTCAATGCAATACAGATTACTACAGACTCCTGACTTTGAAATTATGGCACCCAAGCCCTTTTGAATCCCATCCCTTTTTAAAGTCCCTGGGGAACTCTGTGGTTCAAAATACTCTTGTCAAGGCCTTGTCTAAACAAGAGTTGTGTCTTTGGAGTCTCAGCTCAAACTTGCATTGTATGAGGGCAGGGTCACATTAACGCTGTGCTTAGTAACTGTCCCTAAATTCTTCCTCATAGATCTTGTGTCAGTACTTAGCACTACTCTTCTGAAAGACAACAGGTTTGACTACTGCAGACTCTTTTGAGATAAGAAATGCAAAAAAACTTCAAGGTGAGATCCTCATGCTGTAAGAGGACTCCACGGTATCATTTGTGAGGACACATGTAGCTAAATATCTTGTGCCCGTCGTAAACATGCTTAGGCCTCTTAGCTGCTCTGCTGTAGTGGTTTCTCACAGTTCCCACACAGCCCTTGTATTTTAAAAAAATTCAGGAGTTTTGCAAAGGGTGAAGCAATGAACCTCACTTCCTCCTGAGCAGCTTTCTTTGGCTTATTATACATTTGCATTGCAATACTGCCTGTAGGCTTCAACCAGCATCAGGCATCTGAAACCACAGGCTGAGACAGCTCTTGCCCTAAGCACATTGCATGTCACCTATGGTTTGTTTTGTTTGTTTGGGGTTTTTTGGGTTTTTTTTTGGCTAATCTAGGCAATTTTAGACCACACTTTCAGCCTGGGAACAGATCTGTGTTTGAGTAGAAGCCATATAACCATAGGGAAGGAACTGAATAGTGTCTATTCCCGTCTTAGACATCAAACCTTCCTGCAAAGTTGAGAATGAGCACCTAGTACCAGGGGTCACTTGTTCCTGCATAGTCGGCAACAGCAAAGACTTCCTAAGCCTAAATCATCACCCCGCAGATCTTACGGACTCCCATAGAGTCAGAAGGCACATTGCCAGCCTTAGATTTTCATCTTCTACAGATAAATTGGTAATTTCACTTTTTCTGCCCCAGAGGCCATACAGGTCCCAAAAAGATTTCATTTCCTTTCATCCTCAACCCAACAGGAGTATCATTCCAGGATCACACTCCAGACACCGTGTTGCTGTATTGAACTCAGACCTGCATCGTAGGTACCAATAGCAAATGCTGGCCTGACCAGCCAGCAGGAAGCAAAAATACATCTATCCCCTACAGTCCCAAAGGCTCTGCAGGAGCTATGCAATCACATGACACTCACTTAAGCCTCAAATTCCAGATTGCTCTGATCCTACCTGCCTTTTGGAAAATTAGACTGTCAGAGTACCAAATACACTCCTTGCTATTTGCCATGTAATTAAGCAGTAATTGCTGCCCAAGGCTAATCTCAGAGTGTATTTTTCCTGTGGAGCTCAGTGCCAGAGTTCACATTTGTAATTTAGTGGCATGCCAAGGAGTTATACCTAAACTCACAAAAGGATTTTCTCCACTCATCATCACTCTTCTGCTTTGGTAGCAGCTGGGATTCTGTATTCAGAGATGTTTGGGCTGGACAAACAAATTAGCAGAGATCAGTCTTATTAGGAATTCACATGGGTAACCATCCTGCTTCACATGGGAATGAGATGCTGACTGCTCAGTTTCTGGACCCCAAACACTCCCCAGTATAGGATGTACACTAAAACCTCTTCTTTCTTCCTACTCACGCAGCCTGGCAGCCTCCAAAGAAGCTGAAGCAGCAGCACGATCTGCCCCCAAACCCATGTCTCCTTCCGACTTCCTGGATAAGTTGATGGGGCGAACTTCAGGATACGATGCCAGGATCAGGCCAAATTTTAAAGGTATGCAAAAAACCTGCTTTTGTGCCTTTGTTTCATTTTAGGACTGAAAACTGCATGCAATCCTCATGAATGCCTCCCTAATTGTATATGGAATATGAACAATCTTTATGTTCATATGAAATATGTATGATAATGAGAGATTTGGCACATGGATCCCTTGTAAATGTCTGGAAAGGCATCTGAGTTCCTCTCAGAATGGAAACAACCTTGTAATACCTTCACATGCAGGAAGCACTTCAATATCAACACGCTGAGGGGTTGGGGATCCTGCCAAGCCAAGCAGTGACCGGCAGGGAGCTGAACATCTTGCAGATTAGGAGAAGAACCTTCAACTTTCCTTTCCCCCTAAGTCACTGCCCACAGCACCTTCTAATAGTGGGCAATGCTCCCCACTTACACCCACTGAAGCCAAGAGGAGTCTCTCCCATCAGCTCCAGAGGAATTCAGCAAGATGCCAGGGGCAGCTCTGACCCAACACTGTCCCCCATAATAGAGGGGCTCTTAAGCTAGCGCCCAACACCGCCCCATCACAACAGCTGTGTTTCACACCCGATTTCCCCAGTTCACCCTGTTCTCACTGGCAGCCAAGCAGCATTAAAGGAGGCCTTGGAAGAGGCAACAGAACATCTCTCTTTGCTCCTCAAGACAAGTCTTCTAACAAGGGTGGGTTTTGTGGGATTTTTTTGTTTTCTTTTTAACTGAGCTCACATTCCCAGAGCTATTTGCCCTTGAATCACACCCAGAGATAAAGCAGGACCTGCCACCTCTCAGCCACTGTCTAACCCTCTTCAATGCTCGCTTCATTCACTTCTTTTTTTTTCCAACCACCAATTCCTCCTTGCCCCGAGAGTCACTGGCAATGCTAACGTAGGGCTCCCAGGACCCATTAATCATGGTGACAGCACCTGCCATCCAACTTCGAGCAATAAGCTCTATTCTGGGCTTTTAAACCCAAAGACATTGCTTATGTCCTAGCAATCAGCCAGGCAAGAGAAAACACTGCTGTTTTTATCCAAATCACAAAGAGTTAAAAAAACACCCTGTAAACCTGCCTACCACTAAATTATGCATACACACAAAAGAAATTAAACTTTAATATTTAATGAAATGTATACATTATCTT